TTTGTGCATTGCTGCAGGACTCCTCGGACTCGTCCCGGTCGCGATCGCGATCGAGGCGAAGGCGAAGGCGAAGCTCCTCAAGCTGAGGGGCACCAGGGAGGGCCGACCCGGAGAGCTGCCGTTGTGTTGGTGTTGTGATAAAGAAAGCAGAAAGTTCTTGGGTGTGTAAGAGCAAAGCGCCAGATGTGTAAGAGCAAAGCAGCCAGGTTGTCGGCTTGTGTAGAGACACCGGAGAGTGTGCAACCGGAGCGACGGGACCCTGAGAAATGAGCTGTTCGCTGTTTGCACATAGGTTTGGTGCCATTAGGCTGTGGCAGTTTGTTGGAAATTTCAAGGAAACTTCCAAGGAGGTGGTGGCAGTTTATTGGAAATTTCAAGGAAACTTCCTCGTAGTTTGTTGGTAGTTTGCTGGCAGTTTGTTGGTAGTTTTATTGGAAGTTTATTGGCAGTTTCACAAAACAGCTGTAAATACCAGGGTTTTGTACTATTGTGTGTAAAGAAGGCATTGGCAGTTTGTTAGAAACTTCAAGGAAACTTCCAAGGGGTCGCTTGGCAGTTTATTGGAAACTTCAAGGAAACTTCCAAGGGGCTGTTGGTAGTTTAGTTGAAACATCAAGGAAACTCCCAAAGGATTATTGATACTTTCTTGGTAATTCAATCAAATTTCCTCCTGTATATTGGATAGTTTATAACAGCTTCAAACATTCAGGGGTCCTAGTTTCATGGAATGCAACTGCAATCCCTGAGGAGTCTTTCCTGTCATCCGTGCAAGGCATGTTATGTTGCCTGTGTATAGAGGCCACTGGCAGCAGCAGGGAAGCATGATCTGTAGTGATTATTGTGATTGGGCAGTCTGTGCGAGACCAAGCAGGCTGCTGTGTGCATGTATGTGTGTGTGTGTGCTTTTTTCTGCTGCCGGCCGATAGGATCTTTAGCCAGCAAGTTTTGTGATACCGTGGCCAGCACAGCTTCGCTTTTCGATCATGGGCAAGCCAGCAGGCATCAGTCGTGGCAAGAGCTTTGTGATGCCGAAGGCAAAGGGGAAAGCCGCACCCGT